GAAAGGGACACTCTAGGCGAAAGTTTGTCAACCAAATTGGTGATACAATGAAAATGGGCCAAATTAAGAGTACCCTTAATCGCCTAGCATGTATGCGTAGGTATATGGATGTGAAAGAAGCGAGGGAGGTTTGTCAGGTTTATGCTAAATGTAAATCTGTTGTCTCTGCCTACCCCTCTGGGTGACAGGCGTGAGTGTTTATGTATGTATGTATGTATGTATGTATGTATGTATTTTCTACAATTGACTTAAAATATATGTTTTTAATCATTAACCCAGTAACCAAACCAAAAGGGTATGTAACAATCCAGACACACCGAATCGCGGGCTTACCATGAGTAATGAAAAACCGACGTGATTTGAACACGCAACATACCACCTTTAAAAAACCTCAACTTCAAGCTTTTGTCATCATCTTCAAGAACTCCGTCCATTCGCTCCCCAGTAGATATTGTCTGCAGTCTCCAAATCCTGCAAGCCATCTGGCTTTACAAGGTTCATCCAAGCAATGGAGTAATATTCTTGTTCCTCCAAGCTACTCTCTACACTACAATGTTCGGCACGGATCTGAGCCTTACTGCTTCATGGTACTCTCGCAGTTTACTTGCGTTCTTCTCGACTCACCGCACACTACAAGGAAACTTAGTGGCACTTGCAACGTACGTCGATATCAAGATTGCACTATTGACCTCCGGTCTGAGCAGGAGAGTGACGTGAGTGAAATGCATCGAAGCCTAAAGTCGCGGTATGAAATCTCCGAAGTCACCGCGCTATATATAGAACAGCACCAAAATAACATCATGGAAAATTGGCCACTCCCCGGGCCAAACACCTTGCCTAGGGGGAGATCTACTCTTTCCCATTTTCCTTTCTCAGTCAAATCTGCATCTATTATTATGGTATAACTTAATATTACTTTAGATAGGTTAGCTTTTAGTTATGTTTAATTTTAAAAAAAATCCTAAATTAGTGTTGATTAGTGCACAATAACAAGTGGTTTGTGGTTATAAAACTTTGTTTAAATGTGTATGTGTATGTCCACGAAGATTATATTATGCATTACAAGGATCAGTCGTTGTGATCTAGATCGGTCTGGTAGACTAGTCTAGCCTAGACTAGTCATTGCAAGGTACCACCATCTTTAATTACCTCTTCGGTACTCGGTACATTACTGTTCGGAAAATATAATTTAATTACCGTTATTTAAAAACATTTTCATTTTACTTATTTCGATGAAAATTTTTATTGAAAAGAATAAAGAAATTAATAATATTAAGAACAAAACAGGTAAAGCCAATATAATAATAGTGAAAGGAGATATTATTATTCCTATATCAAACGGGAGAGCTTAAAAGCATTGCCTGGTTTCTGGGGCTCCACGGGATCAATAATAACGCCCCTCAACAGGTGCGCTGTCTGGTTAGCACGGTCGTAATATTTCAATAATGGACCAATATAAGGACAACATGATAAATGAAAGACTTATGTACGACCAAAACCTGTATTTGTACAGTAATTACAATTGTAAGTAGTAATTACAATGAAATATTATAACAATAATACAGTTATTGATAACTGCGACCGATAATCGTTAAACCGTATTAATAATATATTATTGTAGACATTGTTAAATCAATAGTAATGTGGAAAATTTGTAAGATTTATTAGATTTATAAGATTAATTTTAAGGTGACGCAAAATTGTTGTTTTTTTATGTATGACGGTCACAGTTTAAAAAGGTGTAGCTGTATTGATGTCCTTTTTACTGAGGTTTACTGAACATTTCTTTAGTCACTCGCTTGTCTTGACTTACATATATCATAAGCTACAAAGCATGTATTAAAGTACGAGAGATGCTGTGAAACTACGGTTCATGACTACCTTAGTATCAGCAGTCAACAGTGAATTTGTGGCCAGATATAATAAATAATAAATAAACAAAAAATAATAAACCTTTTATTTCATGCATTGCACATAACATTTGCTTGTAATAATCTTTTTTGATAATAACAATATAATAAGTTATAAAAGGCCAATTACATTGCTTTTGTTTCTATCTCAAAAGTGAATAGTTATATTTTTTTCCTTTTTATTAAATATTTATTAACATTTATGTTTTTATTCTTATATTAAATCATATTAAATTATTATTATTATTTTTTATTAAATCATATTAAATTAAATTAAATATACTTATTAGAATTCATAAATTAAAAAAAAATTGAAATAATATGAAAATAAAAATAAGAAAATAAAATAATTGTAGATTTAAAATAGAATAAAGATTTAAGATAAAAAATCCATGCATGAACCCCTCAAGTAGTGAGGGTGAACGACTCCTCCACAGAACGCCAGCGGTCTCGGTCCTTGGCTTCTGATATCCAGTCTGTGTCTGCGACTCGAGTGATGTCGTCTGCCCATCTAGATGCAGCTCTTCCTTTTTCTGAGTGCCTGTGTGACCTGGCCTTGAGGTCATGCGAATTGTCCACCGCTCGTCGCTCATTCTCGATACGCGTCCTGCCCCCCTCCATTTTAACTTCAGAGCGTAATGAGGGCATATCTGTTACTCTTGTCTTTTGTCTGATGATAATGTGACGAATTTTCTCACTTTTTCTAATTTTTGTGACGCTTCTTTCTATATTTCGCTGGCAAGATGTGATTTTACTTTTGACTCTTCGTGTGAACTTCCAAGTTTGGCATGCGTTGGTTAAAGATGGCAAAACACATGAGTCTATGACTCTGCTGTAGACTTTTTTCATTTCTCATTAACTTTTTAAAACTTCCTTTAGACACTTGCACCTCCTTAGACAATGACACTTTTGATGGACCTGGAAGCAGAATTATACTTATTAAGAACGCTGGTATTTACATGTATGCGCGAGCCCAGGCCTGGTAGCACTCTTGCTTATGACGTAGTGCAATTTTGCAGGAGTGACCAAACCAAGGCTGGGTTCTGCCTCCGATAAGTACCACAGATGATAGAATCAAAAGTTCCTTTCCCTGTTGCACTTAAACGGCGACAGAATCAACAACAACGCTGGGATCATCCGGCGAGAAGCAAACCCGCCTCGGGTAAAAGGTTAGGATGCAAAAAAAGATCGCATCCCGTCCAAATCGGCTGACCTATAATGCCAAACACGGCGGCAACCTGCACTAATCAATCGCGATGAGAGCGTGAGTACCGTACTCCGGATCAGACAATAATCCAAGGAGCCAAGAGGAGCATCGACGGAGACCTGTTATCCGTCCGGATGAGAGGTCAGCAGAAGGTCCAAAAGGGAAGGTATATGGTCTTCCACATCTGATATCCACGTAGGCAAGGTAACCAGGTAAAGCAAAATCATAAACAGATCTACCCGCATGATCGGTTAAACGAGAACCAAGCCATTCAGCGTGGTGGGCGTTAAAATCACCAAGTATCACGATCTCTGCGGATAGGATCTGATGTAACAGGGAGTCTGTAACCATCTGGATGTGATCAATGAGTTGGTCTGTTTTTGTTTTACCCCCCACCCCCTCCCCAGAATACGCGGGGCAGCCTGAGCACCCACGCTCAGGAGTGGACTAGCTTGGTTGCGGATGCTCAGTGAGGGATTCTCCAAAGGTGCTGGTACCCTCCTGGTGTAATCTTGCATATAATTCCGCTACCATGTTTATGTGGGGAGGGGGGGATTTGGCCTCCGGCCACCTGCACTCACCAGACGAAACGTAAAAGAAAAGCCTCTACTCACACTGGTCTTCTGTGAGGTCGTGTTACTACCCAGGCTTGAGCCGGCCCATGCATGCAACAGACTGCGGTGTGGCTCTACCACTGTAAAATTCTAGTCGTATCTCTCTACTTGCTTATTATAATGTGTGTAACGTTGATTCTAGCTCTGTGCTATTTTCTGATAGAAGGACAATATCGTCGGCAAACCTCAAGTGGCAAATATGTTTCCTTATTATTATTATTATATTTCGTTGTTTATAGTATCGATTCTATTACTGCTATAAAGACTTGAGGCAATAGAGTGTTGCCTTGCCGTACTCCTCTTTTGATATAGATAGGTGATCCTGCGGTCTCTAGTTTCACTCTACTAGTATTTTTCTCGTAAAGGTGTTTTTGATTTGCACGTATTTTTTTCCACTTTTTGTGCTTGTAAAGCTTTCCATATTGCTTTCTGGTAGTCTACAAACTGGTCTGGTCAGCTATAATATGATGATGATAATAAAATAATTGTATCTTCGAACAGTAGAATGTTAAGTTAAGAACTCATTATTTTAATTATGTTAATATTTTTTTAATCATTTAAATTTGAAAAAACACTACTTACTCCAAATAAGCAAATAAGGGATTATTTTTTCAGGAGGATCCACCCGCAGGTAAAAAAGAAAATTTTATAAAGAGATGTAGATTATGCATCGCTAATAATGTTTACTGTAAATAAGCGTATCTAAAATAGAAAATAATATTTTAACAATATATCGTCGCAGTCGTAGAACAAAGACGGATCTGCAATTTAGCAATTTTACAGGAGAGCCGTCCAAAGATTTTTTATGGAATATTACTCCATATTTTTAAAACTAGTAATTCAATTAACGTAAAATTTAGACAAGTTGTTTTGTATAACGACTTTTTAATGTGATTTACACTACAAACTCCTAATATGTATAGTTTTCGTAAAAAGTCACATCGGTCGTTGTTCTCTGCAGTATAATGTGACGTATGTAATTAACCGACGTTATTGTATGGAGTTCAAATTTTTGGTTCAAGACGGATGATACTTTCCGTCAATATTCTAGGCGTAGTTACAAAAAAATTATGGGCGGTTTTGAAATATGTAGGTCTAGGAACTGAAATAACAAACAATTTATAATTTTACATATTTTATATCACTTAAGGCACGAGAAATAGGTTTTCTAATCAAATTCTTACAACTACAAAACTTTTTGTATTTTATTTTTCTCAGTATTAGAGTCTATTTTATTCTTTTCTATTTGAAGAGTCTCTGCATTCTTATTTAATATGCTCTGTACTGCATCTTTGCCAGCCATATATAAAGACAGACCAAGCCGGGCCAGTACCCTTTCAGGTCGCCAACGATCGCGCGCACCTCCAAGGGGGGAAATTGTTCGCGTCGGCGCGCATCAGCACCCAAACTTGCCCAGTCCACGCCCAATGCATCACCTAACCCGGCTCGTGTTCTTTCTTCTTCAAGTTCTCCATCAGATATTTCTTCAAAATCTAAATTAGTCACATCTTCATCTTCTTTACCTTCCTGTGATTCTTTTTCTTCGCCAACCCCACTGGTATCCTGTGTGAATTCCTTTTCAGAACCATCAGGTTTCATAGCAATATATTATATTCGTGTGTTTTATTTCACACATTCTTGTCCTATCGTATAGTATCTTGTTGTTTTTTTTTTTAATTACTAACGAAGTGTACGCTTAACAAAATAAATTTACTTGCATTTTTATTAGACTTTAAATTAAAGAAAAAAAATTTGGTTATTGGCACATGGACTATTTAAGTACATTTTTTAACATGATGTTCTAGTACTAGCCAGATGAAATTTTCGTGGTGAATTCTTCAAAATAGTTAGTAATTTTTAAGATAGGTTATAAAAAAATTATGATGAAGATTTCAACCTCATTATTGAGGCACTTCTGTAACGTAACTTTATTGTGTTCTAAAACGTTATATGTATTCTATTGAAAATTTAACCACTATTACCTCTCTCCGAATGGAAACTATTTTTGTATTTGTGCCACAATAATATTATAAATTATCATAATATTATGAACGTACTACGTACACTACACCGGAGACTACAGGAATACTTGTATATACACACACTCTGTATATTCTACGAAAATATTACACCAATGAATGCACAATTAAAATCGATCAAAGTAAATTCTTAGAGCGTCTGAAAAGTTGTTTTCCCTAAATATCCATTTTTTAGTTATATAAGATGAGAATTATTTTCTATTACCAAATTAATTTTTACTGTAATGTTTTAGTAAAATATATGAAATTATATAAAAGTTATTTTTATTTTATGTTTGTAAGTAAGCTTCGATGCAATAAAGCTTTGAATAATAAAACGAATTTAACCCAGCGGACAGCTTACCACCCTTTTACTACGTTGATCTTTTATTAAAACACAATGAAGTAGAGCGTGTGTATTTTATCACGTTTTCATTATCTCGCTTTTATTTATGTCTGTTCAGAAATCGATAACCTACAGATATTTTTTTAAAATGAAGTGACAAACAAACTTACAGTCCACTTAACGGTAAGTGGCTACTGCAGTACGTGGATACCTGCAGACAACTTCAAACGAAGAAGACTACTGATGCGTTCTAACCTCTGAGGACAAAGATGAAATGCCTAATAGTCTGTAATTATACTTGCTCTCTCCCTCTCTCTCTCTCTCTCTCTCTCTCTCTCTCTCTCTTCATGACGGGAAACAGTGGTGCAAGCACGAACTTCTGTTTGGCGGTAGAAATGTTTAAGAACATTGTACCTACCCAGACGGACTCCTAGGCAGAAATAAGGTTCTAACAGCCAGTAATATCTTTGAGTGTTAAAAAAAATTAATCCCAATTTGTGAAAGCGTTTCATTTACATAAACAGCACACGCAGAAACCCACAAAATCCCCAAATCAAATATTCCTGATAAGCCTGCTGGGTCGCAGTCGAATGGCCGACACTGCCCTAACGAGGTGTCTGTAACGTTATCTTACGTAAAATCAAAATGAAATATACTTTTAAATACTTACTTTGAGTAAAAATGTCTATAGAGAATCTTCGCGTGTTCTGAAGTATTAATATTCAGGAATACGTAAAATTTATTACCATGTAATGAACCGGCATAACAAATTACGCTCCACTTGCTTCTATATGGAAAGCCGTTTATTGGATCGGGAAAATATCGTGATTTCAGTTATATCTACACGCGATGATTTTTTAAAAATATACCTACAAAAATTTTCTTAATGCTCACGTGGTGTATAGGTACGTCGTCGCAGTAGTTATTTCATGAGAAATATAATTGTAAGGACCGGTAATATCAAATTTACAATAACTAAAACCAACAGGTATACCTCAAAACCTGAAAACTAAGTTGTACAACCAGTGCGTGTTGCCAGTGATGACATATGGAACTGAGACCTGGTCCTCCGTATGAGGACGCTCAAAGTCGCTCAGCGAGCTATGGACAGGGCTATGCTCGTAGTTTCTTTGCGTGATAAACTTAAAAATGAGGATATCCGCAGTAGAACCAGAGTGACCGACATAGCCCAACGGATTAGTAAGCTGAAGTGGCAATGGGCCGGCCATATAGCTCGAAGAACCGACAACCGTTGGGGAAAAAAGGTTCTCGAGTGGCAGCCTCGTAGCTGCCCTGACCCCCCACTAGATGGAGTGACGACCTGGTAAGACATGCAGGAAGTCGATGGATGCAGGTAACTTAGTACAGTACTTTGTGGCATTACTTGGGGGAGACCTATGTTCAGCAGTGGACTTGTAAAGGGCTGTAATGATGATGATGATAATGATGAATAACCAAAACCATCGTGGCGGTCCAACTATATTATAGCGCGAAGTTTTTTTTTTACGGATTTTATCTCGTATATTAAATTGTTTTGTATTCCCGACGTTTCGAGCACTTTATACCACCGATGGTCGTGGGGAGGACTAAGGTATTCGACTTCCCGATGTCATAGCTAACTACGGCTACATCCATATTCAAATTATTATTGTTTGTTGCGATCTACGGTGATTCTCACCACCGTCCTTCAAATTGCGTAAATGCCTGTTTCAGAGAGCATAAAGGATCTGTGACAGTAAACACCTGGCCGATCTCCAACAATCCAAGTAAGTTTTGCACGAGACCAAGCTTTGGGCTCGCGCCTACGTCACAGTGAACGAGTGAAGCCGGCTACAGTCGAGCGTGTGCCTGCTATACTACCATATGTCTGTGATGTAACCAATCTAGTCAAGATTGGCTACATCTTGAAGCGTGCTTCCATTACTTCAAGCTGCCGAAGAAGATTAGTCAGTTTTTACCATCAGTCAAGTGTTTAAACTTTATTGTGCATGTGGTCTCTCACACACCGATTTCTTCCAAGGATAATTCGCGAGACTATTGAAATCAAAAAATATCCACATTTCAATTGAGAAGTTGGCTGGGTGGTAATATCTGCTTGAGATCCTACAATTAATTAAATGAAATCTCAACCCAAGCATACAACAGACTTCAAGATTCTATAAGTTCATACTGCGTAGATCGAAATAAAAATTAATAATTTTAACTTGGAGGTAGCCGTGGTTGACTATTACATTGGGACGTCGAGCACTTCAATCTCCTTCGTGGCTATGGTTTCTGTAAAGTGCTCGAAACGTCCGGAATATAAAATAAGTAATATACGCGGTAAAATCCGTAAAAACTCGTTTTCTTTAAATACTGTCAAGTTTTTAGATTTTAACGACATCTTATCGTATTGGACAGTCGATGACTATAGTGTTACAGAATACCGGGGTAAAGTAAAAACTCATGGCTGGTGTGTTTCGTAAGGTGAGCGTAAAAAACAGCAGAATTAAAAAACCATGAAGAACAGCAGAAGAAAATTTTTTACTGGAAACGGGGCATTCCATATAGTCCTCAGGGGTTACAAGGCGTCTGCATTCTGATTTTTAATCGAGGATATAAATAGATGTCTATGGGCCACAGCATCCACTTACCATCAGGTGGACCGTTTGCTTGTTCTTCAACCTTATTATGTAAAAAAAATCTATCTCAAATTGTGAATGCGCCTAAGTAAATAAAATAGCTATAGTTTAAGGTTAACATCAATTTCGGATCACCTGTTTCTTCATTATTACATAAATATCGCACAGTGAGAATAAAAGGGACCTAACTAGAAATTTGCATTTTGTGGGAAATCAAAGAAACGTGTTCGTATTATATGGAGTTTCCAATAAAATATGTCATAACTTTTTCAAATGGATAGTTATTTACATATTTATGCTGGCAATGTATTTTTTGACTATTTTCAATTAGTTTACCCAAAATACCGTAACAAAAAGTGTTTATTAATGTTTAAGCACTATTTCAAAAAAAACCTTCCGGAAATGTGTCATTTTTGTACTATATTTTTTTTAAATATCATTGACTTATTAAGATATAGGGCAGCTTAATTTTTAAAATTAAAGGACTTTTTACAACTTAATTAAAATTGAGTCCGTTTGGTTCTGTAACATTGATGAAAAATTGGCCAATAAGACAAAAAATGTTAAGAATGAAATGACATTTATTACTGAAATAAAGGTAAAACTTCTCATCAGTTAATAAAAATAGACGAGAAAAATTGACATACAAAACTTAATTTTCAAAACCTTCTTATATTTCTATAATTAAACATAATATTTGGTATTTATTTGAACAAATTGAATCACTTTGAATTAAGAATGAAATGTTAACATTATTCTTTCTATTCTGTCCTAAATAATCATAATATTTTACTTAATAAATAAATAAATAAAAAAATAAATAAATAAATTACGTAATACGTTACTAGTTGTTAGGTACATATCCGTATCAGTCCTCAACGCCTTTCAGTAATCCACTGTTTTTCAGAGTACTTATCTTGCGCTCAAATAACGCGGTGGATTACTGAAAGTCTCTATCATTTAATCCTAAGTATTTAAAAATCATAGAGGGTAAATATAATCGTCGAATAAGTTCCAACAGTTATTAAAGGAGAATCAATATTTATTTGCTCTATGAAATTATATTACAGATTATTGTAATAATTTGTAAATACATTGGAATAAAATTTTTTCGCACCAAGTCTTTCAGATCTTTTTTTCTTATGTTATTTTAATTTGAGCGCTTGTACAAATAATTTATCTAATCTTATTTCGTCGTAGCTTTTCATTTTCTTCCTTTTGTTATGCATATCAATTATTTTATAATCTGTCTCTAAATAAGAAGTTTTAAAGTGCATTTGAAACTCGTTTCCTTTCCTAAAACTTAGCATTTTAATGTCATTCCATACTACTGTAACTTTGTCAGTATCTTCATTGTATCCCCATTGGTCTTGCAAAGTTTTAATATCATGAAAAAAAGTGTAATCGAGTTCCTTGACAATGAAAGGTTTACCAGTTTTTCGAGCACTTTTTATAAGAGTTGCGTATTGACAGGGTACATAAATGGGATCTGATCTTTCATTTTTGTTTATCTCTTTTTCGATTAAACTGTGCACGTTATCGGCTTCATTTTGGGTATGGCTCTTTATCAAATATTTGTGCGTTATGTTCTCTAATTTTCTAAATGAGTAACTG